GATTCTCTCCATGGAGAGACCTGACTCTTACCTCTACATCATCCATGACAAAATGGACCAGAAAAAGACGTGCTTACCTCGACTCAATCCTGCCCCCAAGGCAATCTCTTCATCCATGCAGCTGCCTGTGTCTTTGTTTGGCATAATCGCTCATGGGCATGGTGCCCAGAACTATGGGAACTTCTTTGTACCTCTATGGGGTGGCGGGGGTGCAAACATGATGATTGCGTCCCTAGCAAAACACTTAAGGTCTCTGCAAAGTGCGCAGACTGAGCTGAACGGCCAACCCTTGCATAAGGCCCTTGTCGATCGAACCCCATACAGGGTTCAGCTGGAGGAGGAGCAAAGGCTTGCAGTATCGCGTGGGGCCCCATGCCATCCCAGTGAATATGTTGGCCGTTAGATTGTAGGGTTATCATGTGAGGCCTCATGCCATTCCGACGAGGCTGGTCACCCGGTGAATGCACAGCCTCATCCAAATGAAGCAGAATCTCAAGGAAGTTCTTGCGGCCGATGTGGCCTTCCACCCCATCTTCTGCTCCAAACAAACAATGCTGGCAGTGAGAACAAAAACATGTACGTCTTCGCGTACTTGGTGATGCTTGTTGCCAAAGGCATATTTGAAATGGTTACACTTGGCTTTCTCATGGTTGGGCACACTCATGAAGACGTCGATGCCATGTTCAGTCACCTGGCAGAGTCCCTCCGGCGATCCAATGTCCTCACCCTCCCACAACTCTACGATGAATTCCAAAATTGCATCAAAGGCACTGTTGAAGCTGCACTTGTGACAGAGGTTCCAGACTTTAAGGGGTTTGTAAGAGGCTACATTAGGGACGGATCCGAAACGCTGATTGGCCACTCCAAGCCTCTTCAGTTTCATTTCAGCATGCGTGACGGTGCTCCAGTGATGAGGTACAAGATGAGAGAATGGGACACAGTGTGGCTGCCAGTGGATGGCATTGAACTCTTCAAGAGAGATCCCATAACTGGGGAACCTATGATTCCTCAGGGTTCCCCACGGCCGATGCACCCGGATGGACTCAAAGACCAGGAAAGTATAGTGGCCGGGATTAGACAGCATATTGCCTTCTGGAAGAGGGGGTTGGTGTTTGGTGGAGAATCCTATTTTAAGAGGTGCAAGCCTTTGCTCGAATACTGGGAGAAGATTATATCTGCTATCCAAAATGGGCCGGTTGTATATGAAGAATTGGAAGAGTCCTTTTGGCCAGAACCCAGAGCACCAGATAGTAGCGGAACAATGTCCTCTGGAAATGCAGTGACAGATAACGATGTTGAGGATCACTATTGTGGGCCGAGGAACAAGAAGCCAGATTCAGCATTCAATTCAGTACAGGTCTGCAAAGGAATGGTGGTGCTTGTCAGGCCCAGTAATAAAAAACAAATGATATGGGTGGGGCACTGCATCATTGATGCAGAGGAGGACGCGGAAACTAACTCCTTCAATGTAACTGTGGAGTGGTTCAAGCCAAGTTCCGGATATACGAAGGATTGCCTAGAAAAGAGATGGGTGCTGAATCCAAGGGATCCCAGCATGAGCATATCGGTGGATAATGTTGTGCATGGTTGGATGCGGAAGCAGAGTGCCACCATCACCTTGCCAGACCATGCAAGAGATGCAGCAAGAGCATTCATAACCCGGGTTCAAGGTGAGATTCATTAATATTCCTTTACTAAGTTTCTAATGTATTTTATTTCAAGGTGAACAATCCGAATCTGAATCAGAGGAGGCGTGATGGCATGTGGCCCTTTGCACTAGTATATCTTAATACCGGTCTGAGAAATAGAATGGCATGTGCCCTCAGGCCTTTTACTAAATCACCTTTGAAAGAAATGCAAGCCTCTATGTGGTAAAAAAAAGGTACTAGAGAAATTCCTTAATAATATGAATGTTATTTAGTTTCATGAAAATACACTAAGGGTCAAATGAGTTAAATGACTTCTCCAGACTAGCAATGCCTCTTGCTACACCTTCACAATTAGATTCGTTAGAAAAAGATAACATTGAATAATATCTAAATGTTCTCACCATTAAGTTATATGTCTAGCTAATAGGAATGACGTTCATCTTAGAAAGCTCACCACACGCTCAATGAACAAACAAATAGTGTATGCGCGCATGCCATCGCTCTTCTTTAGCTTCAGATTCGGCTTGTTCACCTTGACAATGAGATTTATTATACAACCAGATGGACTCAGTCTGGACACAAAGTCACCGCGCTAGTCACCATGCCCCAGATATGTCTAGCCCCTAGACAAAAAACATATAATTTCACGTCATTTTCAAATACTTGAAAATTTGTACCTAGTCCCATTTTACTGAATAAATCCCACTTTAACGAAATAGAGCTTCACTCACTTCTCATGTTTCTGACAAACCTGTTGTTCCAGCATCTGTGGATTTTCTAGATGAGGATTCTATGCTGTCGGCGGTTGCTATCCTTGACGTTCAGTGTCCACAAGGTGCAGAGCAAGATCTACCTTCTCTTGATGAGGTCTGCAAGGCTCAAAAGATTGAGCTGTGGATTCGGAGGCTTCGAGATGGGTTTGAGAATCCTGCATCACTTGCTGATGACTTGCCTTTCCGGCATTTACATTCTCAATATCGCCTTGACGATGGCCTTCTTTATTTTGTGGGGACAGATCCTGATGATCATTTATGGCTAGTGGTGCCTTCGGTGTTTATTCCACGGTTTCTCCATGCCTACCATGATTCTCCTGTTCTAGGTGGGCATATGGGACACCGTCGTGTCATCGAGAAGCTGCACAGGTCTTTCTATTGGCCAGAGATGCGACGTGATATTATCCGGTATGTGCGTAGCTGCGTTTGGTGCCAAGCTCGTAATACTCCCCCTCGTGCTGCGGAAGGACGGTTGGAGTTAAATGCGGTTTCCCATCCGTTTGAGTTAGTGGCATTTGATCTTATGGGACTTTTTCCACGATCGACTGCTGGCAATGAGTATGTTATTATTGCTTCTGACTACTTGACTTGTTGGGTGGAAGTTCGTGCTCTTGCTAGCGCCTCTGCAACTGCTGTTGGATACTTCCTCCTCAATCAAGTGGTGTTCCAGCATTCTTGTCCAGAGCAGATTCTTTCGGATAATGGTCCCGCATTTATGGCTGAGGCATTTCATGTTTTGACATCTCGGTTGGGGATATGCCACACTTTCACGAGTGCTTATCATCCACAATCAGACGATCTGGTGGAACGGCTTGTTCGGACATTCAAAGGGATGATTGCGAAGTATGTGAACTTTCAGCATTTGGATTGGGATGGTTATTTGCCGTCTCTTCGGTATGCATATGTTACAGGGGTGCAGAGTTCTGTTGGTGCTTCACCATATAAACTCTTATATGGTCATGATCCAATATTACCAACGGAACTGGGTTTACCTTCGCGATTGCCACGTGCTGCCGATGCTAGATCATGGGATCAGTATTTGACGAGCATTCTTCCACTTTTCCGAGCAGAGTTTGCCGAACACTTAGGCCGCGTACAAGTGGGACAACAACGGCACTACAACTCCCATCATCGTCTACCTGTGGAGTACAAAGTGGATGATTTGGTGTTAGTCTGTTTTCCCCATCTTACGATACGTGGTTTATCTAAGGGGCTTCTTGCACAATGGAAAGGACCGTATCGAGTGTTGCGACAAATTGGACCACAAGTTTATGAGGTTCGGCATGACGTTCAGCAGGCCAATCCTCCAGAGATTGTGCATGTGCAGCAGCTAAAACGCTTCATACAAAGGGATCAAGAGGAGTTAATACCACCTATAGATCCACCGATGCCTCCTCCTGACATTCCTCCGGATCCCAACCCATCTTTAAGAGAACCCTGATGGTCTTCCATTATCCCGAGAGGAGGGGATGATGTCAGGGCCAAGTGTACGGTTACGATGCCGTATACTAATATTAGCGTAGTAAGATTTTGGTAGCCGTCGGATTGGTTTTAATCTGGACCACTCGCTCCTGTATATAAACTAGGGTTTTTGGGCTAATTAATATGCACATTTCTGTATTCCCTTTCCATATTCCAAGCACTCACAATGCGAATAATAATTTTCCCATAAAAAATACGGGTAAGGACATTACTTTAGCTTAAGTTATTGTGCAAATAGGGAAAACGTAAATTTTGAACTTTAATTTTCGGGTAACTCTAGAGCTAAACTCTTATAAACATCTCTAAACATGCTCATTTAATTAACCACCAATAAACAGCAAAGATATACACTCCCCCACTAATTTTCTCTCGAAAATAAAAAAGAAGATATTATCAAACACTATTTTTTCAATTTTTGTTTTTTTTTCTTATTTTCTACTATTAATTAACTTACAACTCAATCACACAATATTTGGAGAGAATTGAACCCAACTTAATTTCAGCAAACTGATGAGGATGGACAATTTTTATTTTCATTTCTTTTGCACTTCTTAATTTACATTTCTTAATTTGTTTCTACTCTTCTTTCTTCGGTGTATTTGGCCCATTATATTTAGCTGAAACACATTTACATATACACTAGTACACTACGTACTAAGCCTAGCTAATTCTCAACGATTTGTGCATCTGCTGGTTGATACACACACACACACTGTGTAGGGCTAGCTCCATCCACAAGAGAGCCTTGAGGTTGGGCACCAGAGGCTGGAAGAAGTCGTCACAGGGGAGAGCAAGCAAGTCACCACTCACGACAAGCTCAAAAAATCTGGAAGGAAGATGTCGCCGAGGAACTGGTGAGTATGTCGCAAGAAACAAATGCCATCGTCACCAGCTTCCACACGTCTTCAACGTGCTCTAGGAGCACAAACCCAAAGTTGGTCATGCCGCAAGCCACCATCACCTTGCTCCCGGAACATGAGGCGGTACTTGCTATCAGCAAAGAGTTTGGGTACCGGCAAGTCTTCATACTAAGGCTTATTATCTGAATCTGGGCGCTCCGTTTTGGGGCACCTGTTGGCAGGTTTAGTCACGATTCTGCTACCAAAAAGAAATTTAAATTTAAGACAACGTGTCATCCTCCTTTTGCATAGTTTTAACTTTTAAATGTTAATTTTTTCTCCGTGAAGTTCAGGCTGACGGCGGTATGATCACTCAGCGGCCCATGTTTCTGCTTGACTCACAGAGGGTTTAAAACCAGGGATAACTGCAAGAAAGAGCAATGACATGTTTTCAAAAGTAGTTGTCACAGGAACATCTGCCATCCTGGAACACATGAACCCGACTGGCATCTTTGCAGATGATTAGCCTTTTTTCCAGCTTAGAGATGAGAGCAGTGGCCGCATGGCAATCGTCACAAACTCGGAGATTTTTCACAATTCTGATGGTCTCCTTCTGGTGCGAGTTCACCAGAGCACACCCCAGCGCAAGCTTCTCACTGTGGCCGCACAGGTGATCCTCTTTCTCTTCCTCGGGTATGTCTTTTAGAACGTTGATCACATCGCTCGCATACCCCTCCTCTTTCATTTTAAGCAACAATTGCTTGAGCTTGGCCGCAATCTCGTCGCTCTGTGAGTGACTCCTATCCCCAACAGAAAAAGAATGCACTTTTCCTGAGCTAACATCCGTCCACCAGCTTCTCCCGGGCTCCCTGAAGCCGCCTTCACCTCTCATTCTCTCCACAACAGCAGCCCTTTCACTGAGCATCCCCAGGTTTCCAAATATATTGGCCATCAATGCGTAGGGCGTGCCACTCTTGGGATCCATCTCCACAAGACGCTCAAACGCAAGTTTGCCGATCGTGTAATTCTTCCACTTCCGGCAGGCTCCGAGCAGGGACGTCCAAACCACTGCATCCGGTTCAAAAGGCATGGCTCTGAGAACTCTCACAGCTTCGTCGAGGAGGTTAGCTCGCCCAAGCATATCGATCAGGCACACATAATGCTCCAGACGTGGCTTGACTCCATACTGCTTGGGCATTTCATCCAGAAGCTGCCTTCCTTTCCCGACCAGACCACCATGGCTGCAAGCGTTCAACACCGACACAAAACTCACATTGTCAGCTTTACAGCCCTCCTCCTGAATCATGGAATAGAAACGCTCCAAGGCCTCGATCGATCGGCCCTGGAGAGTGTAAGCCTGTATGAGAGAGTTCCAGAGACCCGTGTTGTCCCGAGCTCGGCACTCGTCAAACGCTTCCTGAGCAGAATCAACATCGCCGCATTTGCCGTAGAAGCTCACCAGGCTGGAGCCCAGAACTGGATTGTTTTTCAGCAGCCCTTCATGCTTCGCCAGCTGGTGAATCTCCCTCCCGAGCTTGATCGCCATCACACTCCCGCAAGCAACAAGGACGCAGGTGTAGGTGCAAGCATTAGCTTGAATGGTGTTATCAGCTCTCAGGGCAGAGTAGTACTCCAGAGCAAGTTCAGCTTGCCCGTTCGTGTTGCAGCCCTGGATGATCGCGGTGTAGGACACAACACTCCGAGTTCCCATAGAGTGGAAAATCTTGCGAGCCTCCTCAAGCTCGCCACACTTGCAGTACATGTCTACCAGGCAATTCGCCACGAACAGATCTAGCTGTTTCTTCTCCTTGCTCAGCATTGAATGGATCTCCATCCCGATGCGTAGAGCTCTCTCCCTCTTCTCGCTGGATTCAGTAGCAAGTGTGGAGCAGGCGCTGATCACTACGACATAAGTCTGATCGTCGGGTTGAATGGTGTTATCAGCTCTCAGGGCAGAGTAGTACTCCAGAGCAAGTTCAGGTCGCCCGTTCGTGTTGCAGCCCTGGATGATCGCGGTGTAGGACACAACAGTCCGAGTTCCCATGGAGTGGAAAATCTTGCGAGCCTCCTCAAGCTCGCCACACTTGCAGTACATGTCTACCAGGCAATTCGCCACGAACAGATCTAGCTGTTTCTTCTCCTTGCTCAGCATTGAATGGATCTCCATCCCGATGCATAGAGCTCTCTCCCTCTTCTCGCTGGATTCGGTAGCAAGTGTGGAGCAGGCGCTGATCACCACGACATGAGTCCAATCGTCGGGTTGAATGGTGTTATCAGCTCTCAGGGCAGAGTAGTACTCCAGAGCAAGTTCAGCTCGCCCGTTCGTGTTGCAGCCCTGGATGATCGCGGTGTAGGACACAACACTCCGAGTTCCCATGGAGTGGAAAATCTTGCAAGCCTCCTCAAGCTCGCCACACTTGCAGTACATGTCTACCAGGCAAGTCGCCATGTACAGACCTAGATGTTTCTTCTCCTTGCTCAGTACTGAATGGACTTCCATCCCGATGCGTAGAGCTCTCTCCCTCTTCTCGCTGGATTCCGTAGCAAGTGTGGAACAGGCGCTGATCACCGCGACATGTGTCCGATCGTCGGGTTGAATGGTGTTATCAACTCTCAGGGCAGAGTAGTACTCCAGAGCAAGTTCAGCTTGCCCGTTCGTGTTGCAGCCCTGGATGATCGCGGTGTAGGACACAACACTCCGAGTTCCCATGGAGTGGAAAATCTTGCGAGCCTCCTCAAGCTCGCCACACTTGCAGTACATGTCTACCAGGCAAGTCGCCATGTACAAACCTAGATGTTTCTTCTCCTTGCTCAGTACTGAATGGACTTCCATCCCGATGCGTAGAGCTCTCTCCCTCTTCTCGCTGGATTCGGTAGCAAGTGTGGAGCAGGCGCTGATCACTGCGACATGTGTCCGATCGTCGGGTTGAATGGTGTTATCAGCTCTCAGGGCAGAGTAGTACTCCAGAGCAAGTTCAGCTTGTCCGTTCGAGCCGCAGCCCTGGATGATCGCGTTGTAGGACACAACACTCCGAGTTCCCATGGAGTGGAAAATCTTGCGAGCCTCCTCAAGCTCGCCACACTTGCAGTACATGTCTACCAGGCAAGTCGCCACGAACAGATCTAGCTGTTTCTTCTCCTTGCTCAGCATTGAATGGATCTCCATCCCGATGCGTAGAGCTCTCTCCCTCTTCTCGCTGGATTCGGTAGCAAGTCTGGAGCAGGCGCTGATCACCGCGACATGTGTCCGATCGTTGGGTTGAATGGTGGTACAAGCTCTCAGGGCAGAGTAGTACTCCAGAGCAACTTCAGCTTGCCCGTTCGAGCCGCAGCCGTGGATGATCGCGTTGTAGGACACAACACTCCGGGTTCCCATGGAGTCGAAAATCTTGCGAGCCTCCTCAAGCTCGCCACACTTGCAGTACATATCGATCAATCCCGTCAACAAGTAGATGTTGCTTTTGTGCTCATCACTCTTGAGCACAGCTTCATGGGCTTGTTTTCCCAAAGAAAGGGATCTGCTCTCAGCTGAGTCTCTCACGCGGTGTATCAGCCTCCCTAAACTCACCGGTTCATCACCAGCTACAGGTGGGGTATGTGGAGATTTGTAGCGGGCCGTGGTGGCCTTACCTACAGCTGGGTCAGCGAGCGACTCGAGTTTTGCAGAGACCCAGGTTGGTGTTTTCCTGTTGGCGATCCACAGGCTCTCTCCGGTAGAAACATGTTTGAAATCCGGGTAGGACTCTGAGAAGAACTTGTTTTTCTTCTTGAACCTGTTGTCCCACCAGAAAGTGGGATCCCTGAACTCCATGAGATTGTTGAGAAATGACACACACACCACACAAACCCTAGCGCCGCACGCATACCCTAGAAATCCCGATTTGTTATTACTTAACCGTAGTAGTAAAAAGCTCGTGTTTTCTTTTTTTCTTTTTCTAATTCTTTTCCTTTTTATACAATGTCACAGCTTAACTGCAGCAGCTTAGATGTTTATTGTTAATAAGAAATCTCTTTGATATATATAGAAAGTGAGCCAGCAGCAATCAGTTGCTCAAGAGCTGAAGAATCAATACATGCATAATTTTCAGACAATCTTCTAACTGGCTGAACATCAGGTTTTTATGATTATTATTATTATTACTAACAACACGCACGAACTTCCTAGAAATCCCGATTTGTTTCATTTTTTATATGATCTGTTGCTGCATGCACTTAACTGTAGGTAGTCTTCAGTTCTTCAATAACTAAAAGATATCAATGCACTCAATATGCAAAAATAAACCACACTCTACACAAATTAAATAAAAAATGCTCTTCATGGGGCCAGAAGCTTCAGGGTACCAGTTTCATGCAGAACACTTTCGCAAATGACTCTCGCCCGGGGCCCATGCACAGGAGTCTTCGGGCAGTGGTAAAACCTCACAAGGCCTCACGTACTTATATTCACCCTGGGCTTCTGGCTGCTCCGCAACATACCTTACCACACCAAACTCTTCGCACATGAAGCCACACATGGAGGAAAAAACCGCACGAGGCCTCATGTGCTTACATTCAGTCCTTATATGTGTTCTTGGCCTCGCTCAGTTCATCTCCTTTGTTGTCCACCTGCGCTTCTTTACTTCATGTTTTTGCTTGCATGCTTCGATCGACATCTTCAGATTTTCAAGCGAACGATTGTGGCATACCGTGGCTATGTTTTTCGGCAGAGCTTGGAGGTGCTGAAAGCGGCATTAAGTTCGTGGAGGATTGATCTTGATTTGGATTGTATGGATCTCTATAAATTTTGAAACTTGAGATTATTTTTCTTCTTTTTCTTCTGTGTTGCCAAAATAACTGGTGTCAAACCTGCTTTTGCAGACTATCTCTAGTACTTCTGGATGCAATCAAGGCCTGCTGCTCATTACTTCAAAGGAGGAGATGATAATTGATCCCCAAAGAGCGAGCTCAATGGTTTTGTTGCTTTCATCAAGTTATCATTCCGCTGCGATCTAAAACACCACATCGTCCACTGTACTTTCACAGGTTTCGAGACAGGTACCCGGGAAAGGTGTATTCCATTGTTGTTCCTTAGGACCTGGACTTGTTTTGCCGCCTCAAGTGTGAGCTGATCAAGATGAGGGAGAAGTTTGCGATGGTGGAGGCTTGGGCTCGAGCAAGGTTGCAGATGCAGTATGAGGATGATTTCTTCTACAACTATGATGAGTGGGACAGTTTTGTGGATCTTTCCACATTGAGATCGTCGAGCGGAGAGTGTTGTAGCATAAGTTATCTCCTGGAGAAATGGTCCTGGCTCAAGGAGCAGTTTGCACGCATCCGCACGTCAAGATTGTTGGAGAGCTCAACTGGAAGATGGAAAAAGGCCAAGGTGACTCATGGGGTTTCAAAACCTGCACTCGGCTTGGTAAGGTTTGGTATGATGAGTTTGAAGAGACAATCGCAAAAAGAAAAAAGGGGGGGACGTCTAGACGTGAAGCGTGCTAGCTCTCCTGAATGGCTTCAAAGAGGTGAGGTGTCTTAAAGAGGAGATGATAGGCTGAGCATGGAGCTGAACTTGGCTTGTGCTCCTTCTTGTAAGAGTAACTAGCTAGCAAAAACAGAGGAGACGGTGAAGAGGATGCCTCTTGAACTCCAAGAGAACAACAGACCTTTTTTTTTTAAGGAGGGGAGAAGCTGCTAGCAGCTCAGAAGTAGGAGCAGTGGAGCAAGAGGTTAGGGTTGATGTCATCCCTGTGCGCCAAGACTGCTGGGTGGTTCGGGGCTTGGTTAAAGTACGCAACCGGGTGGGAGCAATCCGAGGCTTGAGGTATGACTTGTCTTTTCTACCTGGTGGAACTCCATCCGAGCATTCCTACTTCCCTCTTTTAAGCTGCTACATCACGTTTTTACTCTTAGCTCGTGTTAACTCTTAACTCACATTTATACTCTAATTTCACAATAACTCGCATTTTCACTCTAATTAATTCTTTTTTTTCCCTTCCTCTAACTTACCTGGGCCATAAAACTTACTCCCTATTCCAATCTTGTTGAGTTTATCTATATCTACCATAGAATATATGGTAGAATCCTTACATCAATCCGTTCACACACAATATCGAGCTAACTGCTTCACATGGATCTTCTCTTGACATTGTGCATTGAGTGTCACCACATAGATTTGTGGACCAACTTGTTGGACGATGTGATAAGGACCTACACAGCAAAAACCTTGGATCCGCAACACCCAATAACTCACCAACACTTGATCACCAACGACATATGTAGAAACTTTAGAAACTCCAGCGGGTGCAAAGTCTGGGCAAAAGTAGAGTGGAATTCAGTTATTCGGAATGTGCCACACCCAGGAATTCAATCCAAAGCTCTTCTCTTCAAAGTGCTTGTGTCAGGTTTATATCCACGAAACCAAAGCTGGCACCTCCTCTTCAGAGCTCAACTGCAGAAGATCTTGCCTAGACAAGGTGGTAACTATAAACAAGGAATCGATTGGCATTGCTCCTCTCAACACAAAGAAAGTCCAGGATGGAATAGCAAAAGAGATGTTGAAGATATGGAAGTCACACTCCTACCCAGGTTAAGTCAGAAAGAACCAGACCATCTGACAGAGGCATTAGCTGATTGCTTGTTCTTCAACGTAGCGCATAAGAACAGTAATCAGCAGTATATAGGTGACTGTTCAGCTCCAGGC